AGAGTCATGCACAGGTTAAAACACCAGTCAGCTCTGGCTGTGACTGAGTGGCTTGTTTGCTAGCTACGGTGACCAGGCCTGACCCCCGAACCATAACCCACAGAGACCAGCTGGCCACCTGCTGGGAAACCAATTACATTAGGCCCCTTCCATGTAGGAGGGGACAACTTGTCCTCCCTAGAATATATACAGAGCTGACATTCATGTCAGACTCACCACTGCCAGCATCACCATCTGTAGGCTTCTGGAACACTTCAGATTATGCTACAGGGTCCATGCAATGGGCCCTCCAACTCAGCAGCCAATCCTAGTGACAGCAGTAAGACAATAGTCTGGTCCAGGATGCTCAGGCTGCCGGCCCACTTCCTCCCTCAGGCGCAGAGAAGAGCGGCAGGGCCTGAGGTATACCCTGGACCACAGAGAACACCCGGAGGTACATCCTTGATTGCAGAGAACACCCTGACACCCCTGATCACAGAGAACATCCTGAGGCATACTCCAGACGGCAGAGGATACCTGAGGTACACCCTTCACCATAGAGAAAATTCTGACATACAACCTGGACTATAGAGAACACCTTGCATTATCCCCTCAATGACAGAAGACACCCTAAGGTATACCCCTGACCACAAAGAAAAAACCCTGAGCTACACCCTGGACCACAGAGAATACCTGAGGTACACCCCTGATCACAGAGAAAGCCCTGAGGTACACCCTCAACCACAGAGAACACCCCGAGATATACCCTGACCACAGAGAACACCCTGAGGTACACTCCAGACCACAGGGAACACCCTGAGGTGTACGCCCTGAACCACGGAGACAGCTAGGCATATCTTGCAGGGGGAAGAGCTTGCAGTGAACCAGGGCAAACATATGTAGCTGACTTGACTTTGGCCAGAAAAGACAGGCCCAGGAACCAAGTACAAGGGTGAGCAGAGGGTCTAACCCTGTTATAGATAAAGAACCTCTCAAACATTTCTTCCAGTCCCCACTGTTCTTGGGGTACCTGGGGAGGGACTTGTCTATCTGGGGGCATATTAACAGTTCCCTCAACCTAGAAGCCAAGAATACTGCTTGGCTTTTCTGGTCTCCTTATGCTACGGTGAGGGGGTGGGAGGTGCAGGAAGAAAAACGGTCCCTGTGTTAGGAGAAGAGTGTGTGATGCAGCCTGGGTTTGAATCCCAGCTCTGCCACTGACTTCACCGCTATGTCTCAGATTCCTCATCTGTAAAATGGAGGTGAACACCTAAATAGTACCCGGCATTCCCTGAGTGTTAGCCATTGTGACTGCTGGCCCGTCTGACCATCATGAGAACATGGAGTAAGCAATGGGAGCTGGGAGGGTGAGGGGTTCAGCCCAGGGATCCCCAGGAACGCTCCCTTACACTCCAGTGTCTAGTAGTAACGCTTAACAGACATCACTACATCCTATACAGAGAGAATCCCCAGGTCCCAGACCCTTTAGGAATGGAGGTCAGTGTCACCTCACAAGGGAAAGCCCTCAGCCAGCTATGACCTGGCCTGAGGCAAAGGGTTGGAGGATCAGGCCTGAAGCGACTCTCATACCCGGGCTCCATCAGGCAGCTCCTGACAGGACGTTGGCCCTGAGCCTTCCTCTCCAGCCCCAGGTCCACTCATCCCAGATCCTGCGTCCGTGAAGGTGGGCCACTCTTGGGCCTGCCATCCCCGCCTTGGCTTCTCCAGCCCCCTTCTGCCCGCACCCCGGCCACGCCACGGCTCCCTGAGCCCAGACAGAGGCTCCTGGCGCGGCTCCCACCCCATGACCAGCCCTGCTGCTCCCCGCTCCATCATCCCCTCATCACCGTCACTCTGTCCGTAGTCGCCACACTCATTTTCTGGCATCTGGAATCTGCCATGCTCCCCTCCTGTGTGCGCCTCCGTGTGCCATGCTCCCTGCCTTCGCCTCTCTCTGCTCTGTCCTGCAACCGTCATCCCTGCGTAAATTAGGGGCCCCAGCCCCGGCTCCTATCACACCCCAGGGCCGCCTTTATCACAATTCTGGCTATAGCACAGAGTATCCCAGCTTCCCATCTCAGCATGTTGAAGGATACACCAGCCTGTACATCTGCCTCTCAGTGTCTGCGAAGTGCTCAGCACACACGCCCCCTCCAGGGAGTGAATGGGTCACTCCCAGGGCCCAGTGGGGGCTGACCACAGACGTGCTCAACGCCAGCTCCCGAACTAACACACAGCGAGGACTGACGGAGCCTTCCTTTGTTAAAAGACAGCAAACTGTTAGATCTCAAAAATAACTTAAGATGAAATCTCTTTTTTATTTTCGAGCAAGACGCCAGACACTGCCAAATCTATTTAGAGGGTTCACCAAAAGGCTGCGAACCCCGCAATGGTGGTCCTTGCAACCAGCATGAGACTTCACTTCCAGGGCACGCAAACCGGGGATCCCTGATTCTGGGGGTTGCTGGCCAAGGTCAAGGGCTCTAGTAAGAGGAGAACAGGGCTCTGCAGGGTCCAGAGAGGAGGCCGGACTCCCAGGGCCCGGCCTCCACTGCAGCTCATCCTCGGTCCCTGGGATCTGTCCCCGGCCTGTCAGCAACCATCCACGCCACTTGCTTGTAGGGACTCGTTTTAATTAATGCCAGAGCCGGGCCAACCGCCGGGGCCCTGACACTTGTTTGCAGGTCATCTCCTCCTAACGGGCTCGCCCTGGGAGTGGATTTGTCACTAATTGAAGCAGAGATCAGTTAATGAGGCCGCGGGGCCTGGGGTTCCAGAGAACAAGGGAAAGGAAAATAAAATAAAGCCTCTTTCTTTGGAGGTTTTGTGATTTACACGCACAAAAGAAAAGCAAGCAAGCTGCAGATTTTCCAAGTCAGAAACTCCACTCCATCTGCCAGAGTTAGACCCTCACTGTGTGAGACGGCAGGCAGAGGGACGCCGCCACTGCTGAGACTCGTGGATCAGAGCGGAGCGGGGCCTCCCGAGGCCAGCAATCAATCAGCAGCCTAATTAACAAGTATTTATGGAGCAGTGCTCCATGCCCCCCTCTGTGGGGGAGAAGACACAGGGCCTGTCCCTGGTTAACTTGTAATCCAGTGGAACAATGACAGGACAGGACACAGGGTATAACTGAGCGCATGAAGGATGGAAGTTTCTAGAACGTGTGGCATGGCATGGTTGGGGAAAGCCTCTTCAAGGGCTCTGCAGCTAGGCAGGAAGGTGGAAGGAGGGCATCCCCGGCACAGGCACAGCCCCTGGTGGCCAGGACAGCCCCGCATGAGGTCCCCAGTCCCTAGGAGGGAGACCCTGGCTCTGAGAGCCCTGAAGGACCCCCAATCCCCAGTAATGCTGCTAGGCTTTGTGCCTCAGAGTCTCCTCCCCACGTCTGGGCTAGCTTTGGCCTGAGGAAGTGACCGAGGTGGAATGACTGAGGGCCCCTTGGTGACACAGCAAAGGGCAGGAGGGAGTCCCAGCGGGACAGTCATCCCCTTCACTCACGGCCTTCCCGATCTGAGCCACTCAATGTTCTCCCCACGTGGCTCCTTCCAGCCACCCCCCAGCCCACCTCACCCTTAAATCCCAAAGAAGGAAAGTGGGATTTTCAACCTGCTAAACTAGGCTGAGCCATCAGCTCCTCTTGTCATAAAGGAAGAAGAGGTGACATTGGCAAGAAAGAGGTGACAGAGCCTTTTCCTGTCTGTCATAAGAGCTTCTGACCTTGACCAGCAACTTCCACGGAATCAGAATTCCCACTTAGTATGGTCCCAACCAAGTGCAGCCTCATGCTAGGTGGCAGGATCCCCGGGGTGCGCTTAGCAGTCTCTTGGTCAGCCCTCTCAACCGATTTGGCAGTGCCTGGCTCCTTGCTTGTGATGAGACATGAAGATTCAGGGAAGGAAAACAATCTTGGTCATGAAATGGGGACACCCCGCCCCCCCAACAGCTATTTGGAGATGATCTGGTCTACAGAGCAGTGGAGTAAATGAGGCCACTTCAGAACAACCTTAATCCCTACTTTGGAAGAACAGTGAAGTAAATGATGGCATTTGGTGCAATGGTTGGTACCTCTTTGTGAACAATTATTGTATTTATTTAATGACATGGGAAAGATGAGGAAAGTGGGTTTCACAAAAAGATTATTACATGGAAATATATTTTTATTTCATTTTTCTAATTTTTTCTTACTAATTGCATATATTTCTTGGTAATGAATAAAATAACAGAGCTGTGCGGTGACTTTTGCTCCTGGGGTCAGGTAAAGGAGGCCACCCAGCCGGGATCGAGAGCACCCGACAGAAGAGCGAGGGTGGGGCCGGGGAGGGACACATGTAGCCAAGGTCCTGGGAGCCTGGGATTCCGTTCCGGCTCTGGCCTAAGCCCCCTGCTATGTCACCTGCCCTCTGCCTTCACCCGGGATCCATCCTGAGGCTAACACAGTCTACAAACCTCCTCTACTTAATAGCTGCTCTATTCTCAGTCCCACGGGATTCAAAATGAGCTTATTGTCACTGTCTTGAGGAGCTTACAGGCCTCCAGGAGGGACTGGACATGTGACCATAGAGCCAAGGCTATGGAGAGAGGACAGCAGTGCCCCAGGAACTCAGGCAAAGAGCAAAGGGGAGCCGGCGATGGGGGCCAACCGTGTGAATCACTCCAGAGCCCCTGGTCTCCTGCATCAGCCACGCTACCACATGTGATGACCAGCTCCCCTGAGGTGAGCGCCAGGCAAACGCAGCCCTCAGGGGACCGACGTGCTGCCCTCAGCGGGAGTGGGCAGCCCTTCACACCACATACTTCCCCACCCGCTCAGCAATCTGAACCACCACTTTTTAAAGTATCAGTGGGATCTACTCTCTTCTCTGCCTAGAAAGCCTGCCCCGACGGCCCACCCACAGAAACCTGTCTCCCACACTCCTTGCCCGGATCTGACCCTCAGACAAGATCTGGCCCAAGACGTTGGGGAGGGCAGCCGTGGAGCAGCAGGACCGGTGGGGGGATGGGTGGGAGGGCTTACTCACAGCGATGGAGACGGCGCTGATGACAGCTCCTAGGTAGCCCTGGATGAACTTGGATACAGGTGAAGGCTGGAAGACAGAGAGAGAGTTTCAGGCCCTCTGGGTGCCCAAAGCTCCCTCACTCTGCCTTTACCAACAGGCCCAGCCAGCAAGGGGCATCCCTGCCTCCCCGACGGGAGGGTCAGGTGGGAACAAAGAGGTCCCTCTGGAAGCCAAAGGGATCCCGGCCACCATCAACATGGTCCTAAATATGGAAATATGAGGCAGCGGTGTTCAGGGAGATGTTGAAGGGCCCACGGCTCTCTGCCCCGCTCTATAAAGGTCACTGGCAGACACTGCTGGCTGGAGGTAGAAAACAGCAAGGGCCAAATGGGTCATTCATGGCTGGGCAAGCAGATCCAATTTAGGAAGACTACATGTTGCGAGTGGGCTGTCTGGCACCTGGAGCACTTCCTTGCTAGACACGGCAGTGTCAAGGCTGGCTCCAGCCTGGCTGGCTCCCACAGGCCTTGTCAACCCTGGTAGCAACTGCGCTTCCATGCCAATAGATGACAGTTGCTCGATATTTCTAGGGAAAAATGTATCCCGAGCTGTAATGTAGAAAATTAAGAAAAGAGCTGAGGAATTTGCCTCGGCATACCACAATGGCGATTTTGGAGGTGTTTGGTTTAAGGTAAACGAGAGCCAAACAAGCAGAGATGCACGTGTATGAAGCATACGAGGGAGACGGGGACCAAAGGTTTAAAATGAGGGAGAGGGTGTCCTCAGAGTATTAGGCCCTGAGGTATTGCCTCCCAAGGTTAGAAAATGCCCAGACCCTTTTCTACCCAAGCTGACAGCGTCCCCTGCCCCCAAAAGGGACCTAGACTCCTTCCCTCCTCTTCCTGCCTTTGGACCGAAGAGTGAGAATTGACCGGGGGCGAGGCAGCCTTGCCGGAGCGCAGGAGCCCTTCCTGAACGACAGAAGGGTGAATGGGCCTCCATGGTAAGTTCGTCCCAGGAGGGCAGAAGGGGAAGTATCGGTCCTCTCGGACCCGTCACCCCTCAAGAGCAGCCTTTCAGCTTTGCAGCCCATACTCTGCAGGCACCGAGGCAGTTTCCAGGAAAGCCTGGAGAAAGCGGTAGGGAAATTCAGGCCCCACGTGGCTGTTGCTGTCCTGATCCAATGAAGGGTATAAGAGCTGCCCTCAGGGAATTCTGCAGCCGGTGGAGTTCATCCCTTTCACCGCCCCCGCCACACTCCCATTTTATGGGCCTTCTTCACCTCATGTGAACTGTCCCTCCCAGCAGGGCTCCTCCTGAACGGTTGGCAATTTAAATAAGGTGCCTACAGGAGGGCGATGCTTAACCCAGATGTGTAGTAGCATGACGCACTGTAGGGAGGGTGAAGGTCACCCCAACCTGAGAGCCACCACTGGGTGGTGGTCTGTGGTGCTCACCTTGGTAGCATTGCGGTTTGCATAGTTGACGCAAGCATTGTGACTCTGGTTCAGCCACTGAAAAGTAAGGGGGGAGAGGAGAAGTCAGGGAAGGCGTGCTCACCTCCCTGGAAGCCAGGCCTGGCCCCAGCAGGTCAGGCATCTTCAGAAAGACGCCAGTCACTAGCTCATGGTGGGTGCATCCATACCGTTATTAGCATGACCAACTGCCCAGTTTGCCCCATACTGGGCCAGTTTTAGCACTGGGTGTCCCTAGTCCTGGGAAAGCCCTCAGCTCCCGGGAAACCAGGGCACTGGTTCTACCCGCACCAGCAGTCTGTCCTGACCTGGAGGCAGTACCCCTTCCAAAATCATGGCTCTCACTGTCCCAAATGGGACCCCTGCTTTTGCCACGTCATCCTTATTACATTACTTCCTAGACAGAGGTGGATATTCAGACCCCTGGAATGTCCCCAGCCCAGTGTCCTGCACCACCCTCAGCTCCAAGACATGGGCACTGCTGTAGTTTTGCTCAGGAAAGATTGACATGTTCTCATGAAGACAGGTCTTCCTTCCTTCCACTCTTTCTCGGTGTGAGTGAGACACACACACAGGGCTTCAACTACTGCCGGAGAGCTACAACTGACTCCCTTCACGAACGGAGACCAGGGTCTGTGATGCTTTGTCACCCACATCACTACCTTGGCCTTAGGGTGGATTTACCTTCCCCACAGATTTGGGTGAGGAGGCTGATGTCAAAGAGACTGTGGGCCTCGAGGTCCCTGGCCATGGGACAAGCAGCCAGGGGACACATTGGGTGGCCACCAACAAGCCATCCAGCTGAGGGCACCAGCCCAGCCCTCATCACCTCCATGCAGAGGTTGAAGTGACATAATGGCCTCAGACGTGGGCTCGGAGGACCTGCTCGGCAGGGCCTGAAGGCCTGGGGCTTTTCCCAGTAGTGTCTGGGTTGGGGAGAGGCAAGAAGTGGGGTGATTTTCCCCGAAGGGCATGAGAGGAAGCACTGAGCAAGGAGTTCTAACAGGTACCTGTTGGGCCCTCCCTCAGGAGCCTGTTTGCAGGGAGACTGTTACCTGCCAGAAGACAGTGGATGCCAGTGTCTGGTTGGGCAACAGAAGACCGACCACCTGAGAATGAGAGAGGGAGTGAGAGAGAGAGCTGAACAGGGCAAAAGAAACACACTACACTTTTGCAAAGAAAAATTAAACAGCTGTGAAGAAGAGCAAGCTGAACCTGTACAAACAGATATGGATGTGTACACACACACTGCTGCCCATAGTAAGACTGTGTATGATAAAAATTAAAAAAAACAAGTTGCAGAATTGTATGACAGCATAATCTCATTTTTAAAATAAAAACATCTTATATAAAACCATATACACAAACACGTACACATACCTATCTCCACGCATGAAAAAAAGAAGTCTGTAGCGTAGCATGTGGAACAGGTTATACAGTAATTTCTCACATTCTTCTTGAATACTGCCGTAGTCTTTTTAACAGTTGACATGCATTATTTCCATAACTGGCGGGCAGGGGAACACTAAATAAACAAGCACCCAAGAGGAACACCTCCACTTCTACTCAGCTAACCCAGCTCCTTCACACTCCAGCCATCCAACAGGATTTTGTGGGGATTAAATAAAAATCATTGCAGAGGCCATAGGTGCTATACAAATAAACTAGGGGGAATTTATCTGTTCCCACTGAGCCATCATGAAGCAAAACCTACACCATGTTTAAGCTATCAAATGAATCATGGATGTCTGATAAATATTTGTTGAAAGAGTGAAGGAAGGAATGAGCCAATACACCATAGAGCTAAACATGACTATGTAAGTGTGGATCCATTATTCCCAAAGCCCAAATATCACCCATGACCTAGACTCACTGACTTTGTTTTTTAAGTCAAGATTAGTTGTCTGATTTTAACACTGGCCAAACCTTGGATTTCAGGGATCCACGTGTCTCTCAAGTTTACCTTTTGAATGCTTGTGTGCAAAATAACATCTACCAAGTACTGCTGCATATGGAAGGAAATGTGCACAACCATCCACATATTGACTTATTTATCATTCCTGTAGATAAAAAGGCTCTTTGGCAAGAATTTCTGTAAGGAACAAGTATAAGCATTCAATTCTATGCAGTAAATCAAATTCTAGACATCCTCTGCAATATTAGTAAATCATGTTTTAAAGATTAAAATGTTTCTAAAACAGTGAATATGTACACACATTTATATTTATTGGCCCATATCAGTTTGAATAAAATTATATCATATAAAGCCATTCCATAGTTCCAGTGAGGAGTTATGAGATATCTCTCCAAAAATGAAATCCCAGCTCCATTTTTTCTCTGCAATGACAGTTCAAGGTACTGGAGTGGCAATCAGGAGACCTTGGCTCTTAGCCTCAGCCCCATCCTTGTGTGATCTCCAGCAGACAATAGTCCCCTTTGGGGTCCTAGCCTTCTTATCTATGGAGTGAAGGGGATGTCCTATTTTGGTTTAAATTCTATTCTCAGGTTCCAAGTAATACCTGTGAAGTCAATAGAGACAGCCCCATTGTAGAGGGAATCCTCCCACCCCAGTCCAGTTGAGAAGTATGGTAGGGAACACAGGACCCTCCTCCTTCTAGTTGGCAGCCAGTCAGGAGCCAGACCATAGAGAGGAAGCTGAGCCTAGAGAGACCTGAGGCTGGGAATAACGTGAGCCAGCAAGTGTGCATGTGTGTGCAAGAGGGCCCATGCACATATCAGTACACATGGGAATGCCTGACTGTCTCCCAAAGCCTGGGGAAATGAAAGTAGTTCACTGTTGAGAACTTATCATTCCCCTGAATCTGTTGGTTTATAGAACATGGTGTGTTATGAACAACATTGTCTTCTCCCTTACAATCCCTCTTGCACCCCCTGAACTGTGTTTGGGCCACTAGCAGCGTGGTAAGATGCAGACCCATGGGACTCACTGTATTTACCAGACAGCTGTTGTCTAGGACTCTCATGGCTCATTACATCACAGGGTCCTTTTAGGGACCCTCTCCCAAGAGGATTCAGAAATTGGACTTCTGAGCATCCAGTCTGCATCAGCCTTGCAGATACTAGGCATTTAACTGTGTTGCTCTTTGTACTGACTGTTGAGGTCAGGCCATATATCTGTGGCCCACATCTGCCAAACACATACATCCTCGTGGCATGTATTTTTGTGTCCAAACTTCATCTTACCTTCCTTTCCCTAAATTTCCTTTTCTCTCATTTTCCTCTTCATTTGTTTATCTTGTGCCATGCATTTAAAAAATGATATCAAGTCTTTTCAGAACAAACCACAGCCCTAACATAAACAAACCTGGTACCCAGCCTATGTACTACACACACACTCACGGCTTGTAACCAGTGGGTTTTTCACCTTGTTGGCCAACTCTGAGCAGCCTCTTGGCCCAACCTCCTGCCCTGACATGAGCCTCCCGTTCACTCACCTCTGACTCCCTATGCTTTCTTAAAGAGGTTCAGTGAGTGATCAATTGATTGATTCTGCTAAGTATGCCCTCTTATGTCACTTGCCATGATCTTTATTATAACTCTGGGGCTCAGGAGAAATAGATTACTTTTTATATTTTAAAATGGGATGACTGAGGTTTAGAGTCATTCGGTGGTCTGCCCAAGCCTTCGTGGTAAGCTAGACATAGAGTCATGTCTTCTGATTCCGAGCTTGGGAGCCCTGTCTCTCTGATTGTAGGGGCTCCTTCTCCAGCTCACCGCCCTGCATAACCACAAAGGAAGACTCAGACTCCATGCCCATTTTTGAGCATTTTCTGTCCACCTAGTTCCATGCTGCTCCCAGTGGAGAATACCAGAGGAAAGGAATATGGAGAATCTAACCACAATAAACAAAAACAAACAGGAAAACGTATGAGAAAGGCCCTTCTAACACCTGGGCACGAAAGTGACAAGATGGTTTAATTGGGTACTTGGGTGTCTGCGAGGCTGATAAATTCTAACATCCAAACCAGAGTTCGAGCAGGGAGAGGTAGGTGTGTTCTGGCTACCTGCTGAAGGAGGAGGTAAGAGGGTGCCGAGGTGTGCATGTGCGTGTGCTAGCTCACGGGAACAAGAAACAGCTGAGAGACTGACCTCGCTGAAGGAGGTTTGGGAAACCAGCAGACTGGAGTCCCAGAAGGTGAGGTTAGAAGGCAGCAGAACACCGTGCTCAAGCTGAGGCAAAGGGAACAGGGATCCCGCCTTCCAGGTCCTACATCAGGCTGGTGGGGCCAGGAGCACGCGGTGCCAGCCCCATTCCCTATTAGGCAACACGCAGCACCATCTGCACAATCCCAGGAGCAAGAGCAGATATTTTATAACTTCCTTTTTTCTTTTTAAGTCTAAATTAAAAATAAATGTTCCTTCAGTTCTCAGATGTATATCTCTGGTGCAACCTGCCCACATTCCCTCACACTGCCCTTTCCAGAACATGGCAGGGGAAAGGAGGAAAGAGATGGATAGAGAGAGGGAGCCAGTCCACCCGGCTTCAATGCCAGTGGATTGCACCTCTTCCAAGAGGGAAACGCTTCAGGCGTGGCCGCGCAGATGGGTGGAGAGAGCCCAGAAAGCGACTGGAACCAGGGAAAGTGGAAGGAGAGCCAACAACCAGAATTTCCAGCCCAGCCTCTACCCTGTCTTGCTGCAGGACCTTGGCCAAATCACACATCCTATCTCTGCTCCCATTTATAGTTCATAACATGGCTGGGGTCCCCTCCACAGCTCCCACCCCCTGGAAGCCATCCTCTATGCACATCTGCCTATTTTTGCCATTCCCCTTCCCCTTGGATGGCTGGCCATGGGCCCTGGTGATGAACTCTCATGCTCTGGCCAAAGAAAGAGCTGAACTCAAATCCTGGCCCCAGTATTTATCAGAGGGGGGACCATGTGCAAGTGACTTGAGCTCTTCAGGCTTTGGTTTTCATCTATTAAATGGTGACGATCAAGGTACCTCCCTGGACGGTCATGGGAGTAGGCATGGGAAGAATTTAGCACAGTGCCTGGCATTCAGCAAGTGCTTACTAGGTATTAGTAGGATTCCTTTCCTCCTAGCTCGTTCTTTTCTGGTCTTTGCTGGTCTCTCCTTTCTTTGAACTCTACAGTCTGCATGACACAATTGAGCATCATCTTGTCCCAATCTTGTCTTTGGACATAAGCCTTTCCCATTAAAGCAGCGGTCCCCTACCTTTTTGGCACCAGGAAAGACAATTTTTCCATGGACCTGAGGTGGCGGGGGATAGTTTCGGGATGATTCAGCTCATTGCATTCCAGCTCACCTCCTGCTGTGTGGCCCGGTTGCTAACAGGCCCAGATGGATACCGGTCCACAGCCTGGAGGTTGGGGACCCCTGCCTTAGATCCTGAAAGTAGAATAAGGGCTTTTCTCTCTGATGGCCCCCAGAGCACTCAGCACAAAGATGGGCCCAAACGACACGCTGGAAACATTGCCAACTCATTAGGAACATTAAACAATTATTGGCCAGGAAAAAAAATCTATGGTGGATTGTGACAATGACAACCATCAGTCATCTCTGACTTGTTTCTTCTATTTATTTTTTAATTTTTTAAAAGATTTCACTTATTTATTTTTAGAGAGGGGAAGAGAGGAAGAGAAACACCAGTGTGTGGTTGCATTTTCGCGCATCTCCTGCTGGCGACCTGGCCTGCAACCCAGGCATGTGCCCTACATTAGGAATTGAACCAGCAACCCTTTGGTTCGCAGGCCGGCACTCAGTCCACTGACCCACATCAGCTCTTTTTATTAAAGTCTGAATTGCATGGGGGTGTTAGCCTTTGGAGACGGGATGGAGATTGAGCTTGGTCCTAATTCTTCACTCTTCCCTGCACTCGTGCCGTGGGAGGGATGCATTTCCCTGTTCTTGGTGTTGCTTAGTCACATGACATGCTCTGGCCAATGGCAGGTGGGAGGAAGCGGCAGTGTGCCAATTCTGAGCCCAGACCTCAGACGCCTCATGTGCTTCAGTCGCCCTCTGGTGCTTCTAACATCGCTGTGAGGGGACATGCCCTGACTAGTGGCCCGGTCCATGGAGGATGAGAGACATGAGGAGCAGAGTCCAACCTGGGTCAGCTGACCC